AAACATATACTATTATAATCAATTTTCTTAACTTAAATTAACACAGATTTCAAATTAAACCGTTCAAAATTTCCTCCATTATTAATGAAAAGAAGAAAAACATTTGGTAACCAGTCTTAGTCACAAAATTGAAGATAACCTTCTACTCATAGTTGCCCCTATTAATTTTTACTGTCTTGATGTTATTTGACACATTACTTTCTGCTCTACACAAAATCTTTCCTCAACCATCGAAATACAACAATTCACATAAACAATACAGAACTCCGTAAACAAAAACACTTTTACAAAGTTATTCCCACACGTCCAAGTCCACTGCCACTTGTACGCAAGTCGGATGTGCCCTATCATTAACCTACGTGTATACGTCAATTACCCTGACGTAGCATTGTAGGCAATAGAGGGCCAGAGTTCACTGGTACAATGGGCGGTCAGTTTGACGATGGAATCGCAAATTGGGTCTGTTTGAATGCTGATTAGTCGTAAACGTCGTAAAGCAGTAGACTTCCGTATCTCTTGGTACAAACAACCGAACGAAAATATCGATATATCGATTATTCGATAAATATTTTGGTTAGGTAAGGTTAACCTAACCTAACTAACCAAACGATATATCGAATAAAACAATCGAATAATCGATATTTTCGGTTGTTTGTGCCAACAGATACGGAAGTCTAACCAAGCAGGGAGCTCGATACCAACACAGTTTGATAGCCTCGATTACAAGAGTAGGAATACGTTAGCTGTCCCCTAACTACTTGAAATGAGTAGTCCGGATTAGGGGTTATGGGGTCAAGTATATTAGTCCTAGTATAGACAAAAAGAATTATATATAGACCGTCAGCTGTGCTGCGGTTACCATAGGTTCTGGCGCACACCGATGGGAGCACCATGTAGTTATGGTACGCGGTACGTAGCTACACGGCCTCCCAGCGGTGTGCGCCAGAACCTATGGTAACCATGGTAACCGCAGCACGGCTGACAGTCTATATTTTTTTTTATCTATGGTCCTTGTTTTCCTTGACGGTTACTGGTTCTTAAATGTACCATTTTCCTGAAAACAGCTGTCGAGGCTAGTGGTCAAAACTAGAAATTACAAATCACGAAAAAACGAAACTTAAAAAATCTACCGAACATAAAATCTCAAAACCCAAACGCGAAACCTTAAATATCGTTTACAATATTTAGGTGGTTTTAGGGGAAAAAAATCTATCACCACTTGACCCTTACTTTTAAATTAATAGCTCAACAGCTGATTAAGCAACATACATTAAATAAAAAAATGGTTTGGTTTACTTCTCCTCAAACCACCTAAGTATGGTAAACAGAGCATAGGTAACTTACATGGTAAAAGTTAACACAATTTGCAGGAAATAGGTAATAAATGTTTACTATACAGTTAAAACTATAAGAAATTGACTCTTTTCGAAATACAGTGTTCAAACCTTATATTGTTGAGAATCGTTTACCTTTGAATGGTGGAGGGAGAATTCTCGTATTGTAATATATGAAGCCTGTTTATATATTGTACGTTTTTATTTGTTACTTTTTATGTCGACTAAATGTTGATTTTTAACGAATACTTTAGAATTTTTACTTCACTCTTTTCACAATAAGAGTAGGAAACAATAGTTTAAAAATAGATACTTATATTCAGTTAGTTTTAAAGTTGATAAAATAACAAAATAGGAAACAACAAAACGCTCTATACAAAAAACTAGACAGTAACACACAAAACTTCATTTGATCCCACTAAAAGTAACTACTAAGTATACTAAAAGTAAGTACTAAGTATACTAAAAGTGATATGTTTAATCTATGATATACCTCTAGTGATATAAACTAATTCCGTATGAACCTACAATCAAACAATATCCAAACAGAAACCCGCATAATTCTCAACAAAATAAAGTCAAAAGTCTATAAAATGGGCAGTAAATTAACATGCAATCGAATTGAAACTTCATAAACTTCACATTCAATTAAGATAAGATTACGCAACCAAATACATCACTTCAGTTATTAAATAAACTAAACCAGTGGAAAATTATTACGTACTAATTGGACCGTAAACTTTTACTACGTTTAAAATTTCATAATGTTACCTCTCTGTTACGTACTCTTGTAATTCCCGGACCCAATTAGAGGTAAGTTAATTGGCGAACGTTAATTGTTTTGAGGCAGACAAATGTATCGAGATATGCTAATTGGGACAATTATAACTAGCTGATGTCTCCTTGATAAGCGCAAGGCCAGGTTTATATTTCATTTGCAGGTTTTCAATTCATTGCAAAGTGAAACGCTATTTGTACAACTTTATTTATAGTTGGTTGCAATTTACATTTCTACATTAATTTTCACGAATCTGAATTAAAAACGTTTTGAATTTTGATAAAAGTTTTAAGAGGGGATTGTAGATTTAACTAAAAATTATTTTAAAACAGAAAGTTCTAAGGTTACTTTAATTTATTATTTTGCACAGCTGTTGTGAATGTTTTTAAAAGTTATTATTAAAGCAGTTAACCTTATTCGAAGCGAAATACTCTAAGATCCATTAATACAGAGCCAATAAAAACAAAAAACCGATTCACTAAAAAGAAGTTTTTTTAAGAAATCTTTATTTTTATGTACACAATGAAACAACACACACAAGAAACAATAACCACCTTCGGTAAGCACATCTAATTTGGTAGATCAAAATTAAATTTAATACAATATAGTTCTGTACCAGATTATCTTAATTTAATAAATTCAAATTTAGCTTTAATTTTTTTTTTACATTTTGCATAGTAGGTATGGTTTAAATAAAATATGTAGGCTAAAACACATTAAAATTGGAGGTGGTAGAGTTGAAACAAACAAAATATTTAACAGCTTGAAGAACCTTTTAGAATAGAAGATGTTGTTTTTAGTTCTGAAATACGATGAAATCAACGTAATAAAGTTAGTTTAAATACATTTTTTAGTTTAAAAAAGTCTTCTTACAAAACCAAGAAAACTTGATCCTATGGACTTGTTGATGAATGAAAGATGATTTAATGGTTTAAACACAACCGTACACAATTATGGTGGTAAAAAATACACACACTCTAATGTATGAACAAAATACACGTACAAACGTCAAAAACTTGACCGCAACAACCAGAAGATTATACCCGATTTAAATATTTAATACAAAATGTAATATAACTGAAGTAAACAGTTTTTAATTACTAAAAGCAACGAATCTTATCCTAATGCACCATATTATTGCCTTCCACATTTTGTTGTAGTCTTTAAACATAGCGTTAAAAAGTTCTGAAAACATCTGTTTACAGCTTTTAGTGGAAACCCAAATTTATGTTGTTAACATTGACCAACTACTACTATTCGTACATTTAAACAAAACTAATCTTTGTATTTTAAACAATCGTTGTTTAAAATACAATTTGTTGCAATTTCCAGTGTAAATAAGGCGTACTAGTCTAATTGTACATCTAGAATAACAAACTAATAGATTTTTAACACTCACAAACACTTTTATAAATTTAATCAACAACAAGAACAGTAAAATGACGTGAATGTGGAGACAAACCCCTATTTACAACCACATTTAATCAATAGCAAATCAAAATGGTAACCATCCACTCCAAAACTGAACAATCTTTGCAAATCAAAACCATAAATCCCGCCAGTTTGACCAATTACACAGTTTTGACTCATCCCTCAGCCTCAGTTAATTAAGTGGTATTGTCCCAAACAGCTGACAACTATCGCTGAGGGGATCGGACAAAGTCTACGATTTCAGCTGCTCCAGGTGTGCCAACCGTGTTTATTTGCATAGAGGTCCTAATTGCACAAAACGTCTACGTAATTTCTCCATCTTTAATTGACTGGTCTATAATTGACTGGTCTATAATTGACTGGTCTTTAATTGACTTTGTCGTTTAATTACATTTGACAGGTGTGAGTGCTAATTAGGACTATTTTGATAGACGCAAAACGAATGGTTCGACAAAAAGATGTCATAGGCGTAAATTATGAGCGAATTTGTTCCAAGTGTAATTAATTTGGATTTTGTAATTTATTTGTTCTTGATTTAGATATGAGCTACAAATCAAACTGGATGTAATTACGCTGGGTTAATTTGTTTGCTTGCATACTTTGTAATAATTGATAGTAGCCTACATACATTTGAGCACGAATGAAGTTTAATTTATCCTCCATGAAATCGCTGGTAATAAGTTTGTAATTACAGGAAGGTTGTCATTTTAAATGATTAAGGAAAACTCGTTAAATCATATTGTATTCACTGATACATATTACATCTAAAACTGAATGAAATGCTAAATGATGAGTCACAACAGTTTAATACGAGTAGAAAGGTATATTGTAGGCAGGGAAGTTTATTTTTAGGAATTCATAAAGATAAATAAAAGATGAGATGATAAAATATTTTACATTGAAGAAAAAAAATTATTAATTCAAGAGGTTTGCATTTTGAAATAGTGTTCCTTGGTAAAATGGGGTTGGATCAGTCTTTGTTCAAAATTATAAAAAGCATTTAACTCATAAATTATTCTTATTGGGTTATACTACAACGAATGTCTACTGCGGTTATTTCTGTAGTAGATAGCCACAAACTAAAAAAGACAAAACCTGACCATTGTTACTGAAATACGTAAAATATATCTACACTAAACCTGCGTTTTCAGTTGAATAAAATTTCACTTTTACTCAAATCCATTTTAATGATATTTGGCTAGGTCTCTGATACGAGGAACGAACAAAAAACCGTAAATAAAATTAAGAAATATACTAAATGCCATTAAGACTATGTAAGTAGTTGTTTCTTCGTAGGAAAAACTACTGTAACTTTTTCATCAAGTTTGCAACAATTGCAGTGCGCACCGTCCTTCTAAAACTTCCTTCTCTTAAAATGTACTACTAGTAGGTGAAACTAATTTTTTCCCCATAATTCATTTCTTTTGCTCCAAAATTCAACTTATTTCTTGTTTCAGACTCCAACAACGGCGAACCACCAAAACTGAAGTGTAATCTCCGCAAGCACAAGCCCAATCGGAAACCTCGCACCCCGTTCACAACCCAGCAACTTCTCAGTTTGGAGAAGAAGTTCAGAGAAAAGCAGTACCTCAGCATTGCTGAACGTGCTGAGTTCAGCAACTCGCTGCATCTCACTGAAACTCAGGTATGTCACTGACTGTCATATTAGAGTAGAACCTCGATAACAAGTGCCAATTTTGAATAACATTGATTTTATATAACCTAATCACTTGTTATTGAAACCCTCGATCAAGAGTTTACCTTGACTAGAAGTACTGTATAGTAATCCCCACGATAAACTTACTATCGAGGTTCTACCGTAGATATATTGAGATATGTTGGAACCGATAAACTAGTGGTTTGAGATCACAGGAATTCTATCCTAGAGACTGGTTTTGAATCTGGGCAATCACGAATGATGGTTAACCTTGTGATGTATTGACCAGATCATACGGAGTCCCCATAAGTTGTAGATTCGCCTACATGAAAAAAACATTGGTTTTGTCTGGTTAAAAATACTTGCTCTGGATCGGATTACTCTTTCCAATAGATTTTATGTGTAAAAAATACTTGAGATTTAATTTATTTGCACAATGTTGAAGGAGAAAGACAAGTTTTTCCTATAAAATAGATTTTGTCTTAAAATATTGTTATCAAAGATTTGTCTGATTATTTTAAATTATAATATATTTTGACACATAACTAACTCATACATCTATTCCAGGTGAAAATATGGTTCCAAAACCGACGAGCCAAAGCCAAGCGTCTGCAAGAAGCTGAGCTGGAGAAGCTGAGGATGGCTGCAGCAGTGGCGGCGAAACCTCACCACCCCCTCTATGGCCCACCACCCCCACATCTGCAGCACTACTTCCAGCATCATCCTGCTGAAGCGCTGCTGCACCCCCACATGGCCCTGCTGAGGCACCCCATGGCTCACCTGATGGGCCCCATGCCCCCCTCACATCATCCCCCTCAGTCGTCTCCAGGACCCCCACCGTCCACTGCAGCGGGCGCAGCAACCCCGCCGTCGGGGATGTCGTAACCTGCAGTCGCGAGGTGCAAAAACTGAGACTAACTACCGACCCATCGCGTTCATACGTTGATTTTTTAAAAAATTAAATTTTCGTTCCTTTATGATTATTTAACATTTTTTCATAATTTTTTGTTAAATTTAACCAACATTTCAAGGAACAATTTTAAAAAGTTGAATCGGTTGAATATTTAATTTATGTGCCACAAGTGTAGATAATTTTACGTTGTAAATAATCAAACGTGTGATTATTTAAAACAACCCAGGTGTAGAGACAAAGTTTCCTGAACATTGTGTGATAAAATGGACAATTTATGTACATAATCGTTGTCTATCTACTGTGTAAATATGTTTCGAACTTTTGTGTATATCCTGTATAGTATGTATATTTTAGGTTAGTGATATTTCAAACAGCTATTTCTGAAAACGTTTTCCACTTGTTGCTGCTGACAAAATTTACTTTTTTGGAACTACATTTTAATTTAAAATTATGATTTTTGTATACGATTTTATGAGTTTTTTTGACGAACCTTACAATCTAAATGGATTGGTTAAACATTTCTTAACAAAGTCTGTATTATGTCGCCAATCATCCTTCCACGGTGTTTTGTTCAATTTTCTCATTACTGGAGTCAAGCCAACATTATACAGTACTGCGTTCAATCGTCGCCATTGTTTAAGTCTAACAAGCGTTCATCTAAAACTGTTCCGTTTCGAGATTAGAAAGTCTCTCTATGGCTAATGAAGTTGTTAAAATACTTAAAATGTTAATGGAACTCTAATTTGCAATTTAAAACAAAAACGAAACTTTACATTTATGGAACCAGGTAGTATTTAAGCAGTAAAGGTATAACAGTCTTTATCATTAATTAGCTGGCCAACGTGGTCCATTTATTGAAGTTTGTCAGCTACAAAAGATTTCATCGTCAAAAAGCAGTGTTGAAAACCAAATGATGATCGTGTTGTCTAAATTATTTTTTCACGATACTTATCCTCTTACAAAATATCTTATCTATAATTTTCCTTTAAATGTTTTGCGATTTCAGTATTGCATTTCCAAACGTAAGTTCGCCATTTGCCATGAGACTTACGAGTCTAAAAATGTATTTGCGTCCTTATTTAGTATTCGGTCGTCAGACCACTCCTAATTGTAATTTTGTTACCGCAAAGCTTTATTTATTAAAACATATTGTAAATATTGCAATCCATTATCTACTTAAATGTACTTAAGTGTAACTAGTGTACGAGTATTATTTTCCCGATTTTAAATCTGTTCACAATTTGAAAGGGAAGAGCTATAGGTTCATAATCATTTCTGAAGTTGTATTGTTGTTGGAATCAATATGAAATGTAAGTGCAAGTGTAATTGAGCCATTGTAGTGACATAGATATGTGCCATTTTCTATTGTATAAAGTGTAAATTACGCCTTCTTTAGACTTTGTAGATCTAAAAGTGGTTTATATTCTTCAAAAGTGAACGAGACAAAAATAAACTATTGTGAACCTACAAATGTTTTAATTTTTCAATCCGTTGTCCACTTTCTATATTGGGAAACATCTGTGAAATGTGGAAACAATCTAAATATATAAATTGAGATAACAAGTTTAATGGCACTGCCATTGACTATATACTATAAGTGTACTTGCACAATGTATACTATGGATAGTGTCAACTTTAACTTCAATACAACTTCAATAGGGGCTCATCCAGCTGTGTAGAAAATGATAAGAAAATAATAGAAAATGATAAGGTGGTCAATATGGCCACCTAATCACCTAACTTCTTGTGCCTGATAAGAAAAATGTATGCATATAATTGTATTCCCAAATTATCAAACATAACAATGTATTGATTGGAAATACAAATTATCTGGATATTTCTTAGAATTTTAGATTTAGCGATTTAGCACAGTGTTATATTCTTAAGTGTTTAAACTTCAGTCTAGATTTTTATTAAGAAGAGTAAAGTATTAGAGTAATTGTCGACAGATTTAAAAGGATGATGAAGACACATTTTTTGCCTTAATCATTGTATCAACCAAATATCCAATTATTTTTAAATGGATTATATTATAATTCTTCCAGCAATTTCTTACCTGAAGGCAATTTCTTATCGAAATTGAGCTTTGGCATTGTATTTGTCTCTTTAGTTCTTTAAAAATTAAAAGGCAGGTAAAGAAAAAAATTATGACATACATAATTTGTGATTCAATTGAAAATTCCACTTTTCTTTAGGATAAGAAACCTGGATATATCACTGACTCTCTAGCACAATTCCCTAATGTGTCCATCCAAGATCTTTTATCATACGTTTTTTAGGGGTCTCTCCTTTGCTTCCAGAACACCCCAATCCTACCTAATTAAACTCAAAAAAGTCCTCTTTTAAAACTTTATAAACATAGAACATCTTGAAATTCAATAACGCCTATCTTCTCTCAAAATTCGTCTATTTGAATGGAAGCTCTTTCCTTTTCTGACACCCCTTCATGGTAGCTGAGGGTTTTTCCTTTTTAAATTCAAATTTCACTAGAATAGTGAAATTCGATCAAAGACAACTTTATCCCAAAATAACTTCAAACTTCAAAACACCAAGAAAGGTCTCGAATAAACCCTATCTTCTGATATTCATTCTGTTCGTGCTCTTTCTTTTTCTGACAACCCCTACTAAATTCAATTTTCTTCCAGGATACTCCAATCCAACCAACTCAACTTCATCCCGAAATTTCCGTTTTAAAACTGTAAAACATAGAACATCTTGAATTGCAATAGAGGCGTTCTTATTTTGACAATCGTCTATTTGAATGGCAGCTCTTTCCTTTTCTGGCACCCAATGGTAGCTGATATATATTTTTTGACAACCCCTAATAAATTCAAATTTTCTTCCAGATCACCCCAATCATCCAAACTCAACTTTAACCCCAAAGTCCTGTTTTAAAACATCAAAACATTGAACATCTTGAATTTCAATAACGTCTTTTTTCTTTTAAACGTTGTCTATTTGAATGACAACTCTTTCTTTTTCCAGCACCCCCTAATGGTTGATGAAACATTGCTCTGCCCCTCCCACTGAACAAGACTTGTTGTAGACGGTAACTCATTGGAGACCTGGATATCGGCACCTCAACAAGACTCTACATCAATATCTATCGCAGCGTGATCTGTGGGTGGATCGACAAACCTCTAGACTCAAATGGCGCTGAATTGTTCTATTTTGATCAAGAATAAATCACACTAGCAAAGCTTTGATTTTTTTTATCATTGATTCTTTTTAATTTTACCCAAGCTTTATTGGAGGACGTATTTTTTAAGCCCTAGGATTGCGTTGAATTACAATTGGCCAAGACGATTGAAGGATCTAATACATTCTACCTTGGACAATTGTCAAGAGTGTAGCGTGTGGTGAGGCTTGTTACAGCTATTGAAGGGCTGTAGTAGGATCAAACTCAACTTTTGACATGCTACTAAAATCACACAAAGTTTGCCCATTTAATTTTATTGACAGTAAAATCTCACATGAACAAGGCTTTTTTCGTACATTTGTTTATCTCTTGTTGCTTGTTCTTCTATTCGGAAGGAAAAGAATAACCAACATTTTGTGTTGAATTACTATCATCTTATATAAGGAAACCATGAAATTTTCAGTTTGCAGTGCAAATCATAACCCGCGAAAGCCCTTACGAAACTTTTCTATGCACCTTATAAAGTAGGCCTATTTGTTTTTTTACCATTCAGCCTTTACTTTCCTATTTAAGGAATCTGTTTAGCAGATTGCATATTCTAAACACCTACATAATTAAACAAAATTTAATAATTCTTTTGTTTACGGACAAGGGTTTTTTGTGGCTAAAATGTTAATTCATTCTCATTCCAGACAAACCCATTCTTACTCTGTATAAAAGTTTGTAGTACAGTATTGGTGATTCAACACTTTGTATAAATCTTTTGGCTACTTCATCCAGTTACAGAATATAATTCAAGTTGTTGAAATCCTAAATCTAAAGTAGGCAAAGAGATATAATTTTCAGAAAACTACTCTTGAGGTGGTGAGCAATTTTGTAAACAATTTTGTTTCATACTATAAAAGCTGGATAATCCACTGGGAAGAACAATCAAAGGCCAATCATTGACAAACCTGCAACCTTCTTGCACCACACTACGACTCAATTCCAAAAACTGCAGTAGAAAAGAATTGTGACGTCTTTGCTCAATGATGCCTTCATCTGACAAACTTCATATGAGATTTCTATGAAAGTCCCAACAGAGTTTTCTACAGCTGGCAGCCACAGATTGACCCAGGTGATGGTCAAGGCGTGTTTGTATCGCAGCCAGCATCGCTATACCCTGGACACTGGACACTAAGTCAGCGGCCAGTCCAATAGATCAACCGCGGACAGCGCTGTCTGTGGGCGAGTTCGCACACCAATTACACTCTCACCTGCCGCCATATTTACTCTTCACGCCTCCCCCCCTCTCTTGCTATCACAATATCAGTGCATTTGTTGTGTTCAATTGCGTTGGCAAATGAATGTACCTGGGGTAAGTTAAGAACTTTTGCCTTGCTCCTTCTATTTGATGTCATCTCTGTTAATTCGCAAAACTCTTAAGACATACTTGTTTGGTTGACATATGATACAGCCTTTGAGGTTTAGCTGTATTTTCGTCTACCTTTCCCTCACCCTCCTTTACCACAACCCATATTTTTCACTAAGGCGTTTTGCTGTGTTGTTCAAATTGTAACAGGTTGAACATACTTGGGACTACTCAAAATTCTAAGTTTTGTTATGTCCATTCTTTATTTATATCTCACATTCACACAACTAAAACGTTTACTATTTTTTGTCATAATCACATTTTCAAAACTTTTTGCCTACCTACTTAAAAAAAAACACACACTTTACAATAGATTTTTTTGCGTTCTCTTCTTTATTTTACCCTTTTCTCATTTTCACCCCAATGATCCCAATTTTTCACTAATATAACTAATCTGTGCTCTTAATCAACAAATTAATTGATTTATTACTGGAATCATTAATTGAAATGGTCATAGAAAACATGAACAAACTCCATTTGAAAGAACACAACCTATTTATAAAGTATCCTAGCGGACCTTCAGGTAAATTCACCAAAGGCATTTTGGTCCTACCGTGCCGGATCCTCCTCACCAAAGACCATTCTACACTGAACTCAGCATACGATGCGTAGGCAATCTTCCAGCAGACGCACAGTAGCAGAGATGGTATCTCCCAGACTTATTGCCCCATTATTGACCACGTCACGTCTAATTGTCCACACATTCTCTGTATATATTGTAATTGTCCACTAACTAACACCGCGACATCCAACCACTAACTCATTATAATTGTGAGGCGGCGCCAAATCCACTTGTTAGCGACAAACCCAGTGTAAGGTAATTGAGACCTGAGCAAGGCCTGTGCAATTGGATGAAAATAGGAATATTTACACGTGAAACAGTAGTCACAGTGCAACTGTTACTGTGTAGTTCAGTGGTAATAAATGTGCACGATCGAACTGTTCCACAGTTTCCCTTGGAACATGTTATTTTGCAGATATTGTGCAACATATGGTGCTCGAATAAGAGTTAATTGCTTATTGATGAGGTAGATCCACTAAAGAGAATGGTTATGCGAGTAAATGGTGCTCAAAGTGGCAGTTTGCTGCATTCGAGATAATAGTTTCTCAAGTGCTTAGTGCAAAACATAGCGTTTTTTTTTTGTGGGGGACAACTATTAGTATGCTACATTCAGTAGAACCCCAATAACGGGAACTGAGGTCTCAGTTTAATAGCACATGTGCTCAGTGGTAATAGCAATCAAGGGTGACTTGCTGTTGTGTGTCTTTTTATTGAGATTTCTGTGTTACCGACATCACTCATAATCATACGAAATAGTTCGAAACAACTTCTGAAATCTTTAAAACGACCAATATATTCGTCCCAGATTTATAGGTCCACTTTCCAATTAACAAAATCACAAAGTATTACAACAAATACAGTTAATTATCACCATAAAACAAACAATTACATTAAATTGAAACAGTGCGTGTTCAAATAACATGCACCCCCTAATAATAATGCCCCTCTATAATTTCCCCTAAAGGGGAGTATAATTGCCAAATATTCCAAAGGAAGTCTATATTAAGAAAATATAACCCTCGGCTCAATCACATTGTTACTGCCTCCAGGATTAAGGCATCAACTGAGTCAGCGTGTGTGTGCGCGTGTGTGTGTGTTTGCGACGGGGGTGAGAGTGTAATAACTGTTAAGTTAGGAAATATGGACGAGTGGCGAACATAAAGAGTACAATGTTGCCGTACGGTGGTGGGGGGAAGAAGTGGTGGGGAGAGAGGTGGGGGATTATCCACCCTTGGCGGTTGTCATGGCAACGTCACTACACACACACGTACAGTGATACTGCCTCCATTCCTTTCCTGGTTTTCACGCTATCATTTTATTGCGACTGTTCTTGCGGTTTCAAGTTTCTTTACACTGACA